CTCTCCCTGCCTCCATAACCAGTCATTTGCCTCTTTGGAATTAGGGCTGTTCTGTCACTTGGTTGACTGAAATAAAAACCTTTTCTTTTTTCTGGTTAGTATCTACTACAAATCATTAGAAAATTCTGTTATATTAATTGTCTTGTTTATTTACAACATGGGTATTTGTTTCATGTAATTCAGAGAGGCAGTTACTTAACAATGATGTCTGTTTATCTGTGATGACACTAATCCAGGCAGTGTTAGCCAGTGTTTCTGGAGGATAACTAGTCATTGATTATTCCTTAGTAATTGGATACATGTTTAGCAGATGAGGTTCTTGGTGACTGAGGGCTTGAACATTCTGTAGTAATGCTAAGAACTAAGCTGTGTATCATCTCAGTAAACTGATGCCTGTGAAGAGACTAGAAGCAGTTAGCCCAGAGTAGCCTTGTACTGATAATACAAAGCTTCCTTGTTAGTCATTGTATCCTCAGAGGTATTTGTGTATTCCTTTCTCCATCAGGTGCCCTTAGGACAGGATCAGTCCTAGTCAATATTGCTTTTCAATTGGTTCAGACAAGCAGAAAAGTCAATAAGATGAGCTAATGAGATCTATTTTTATTTTACTGTGGCAGACAGAGAAAAAACTATATTTAACCAGTTGTACTTACTATACCTCACTCAGTTGCAAAAACGTCAGAAGAATATACTTGGAGAATAACTCTATAGCATAGCTTTACAAATTAACATGTGCTGCTATTAGATTTGTACACAATACGCTGTATGTTCTGAGACTTGCTGTATGCAAGTTCTGTGATTATTCCATTGATTGCTGTGTCCGACCAGCTCTAAACTCTGTGGCTAGACTCCTAGTTGCTGTATCATGTCAGTACTGGAGCAACTGACTAACATTTCTGCTTCACTGTAAAATAAATGCAATAACAAACCAAAAGAGTGGATTCTTTTAGTTATTATAATACAGTAATAATGAAGAGTTCTTGAATGTCTCAACACTTATTTCATGTCCTTGCAGAAATAATCAGGTTATGGTAAAACTTAGGAGGTAAGCAAAGGAGACAGGGGCTTGTGTGTTTGACAACTCGAAAGATTGAGGGTTGTAGTTTTCATAAATGGAGGCTGACAGCTGAGAAGTAGGAGTTGGGAGGGATGTGGGCATCTGTCTTTGGGGAATTACTTGGCAGAAGTGAATTGGTAGAAGAGAGCATTTCCACACTCGTTGTCCTTTCCTTCCTTCAAGTGTTTTCTCCTAAGATATCAGAAACCAAGTACCCACTTCTCCCTGTATAGGTAGAGAATGTCCATGTGGATAATTTCCAGCAGCATCTCCTGATGCCTGTGTGAAAGAGATGACCTTTTGAGGTTCCCCTTTTTAGGTACGGGGAAACCCCCAAAGGTGTCATGAAAGCTACTGTCATTACATAAGGTCAGTTGCTGGAATGCTCCAATCTCTCTCTCACTGCTCTTAAGATAGACAAGGTGGGTAAGGTAATATCTTTTGTTGGACCAACTTCTATAGGTGAGAGAGAGAAGCTTTTGACCTATGCAGAGTTTCCCAGACTTGAAGAGCTCTACATAGGTCGAAAGCTTGTCTCGCTCAGAAGTTGGTCTAATAAAAGAATATTACCTCACCCACCTTGTCTCACTAATATCCTGAAACCAACAAGGCTACAACAACACTGCATGCTCTTATGAGTGACATCTTGAGACAGTTGAATACTGACTGGAATCTTTCCCCTGCTATATCTGCCAATCTGAGATGTTTTTACAAAGCAGGAGGGTAGTTTCTTCCAAAGCCACATATTCCTGGGCTGCAGGCAATTCTGCAGCCCTTTGAGCAACCTTGAAATAGGCACACTAATTATTGCTGACTGGTTTTCATTTGTTCCTTTAAATGATGTTAGGTGGAAGCACTGAGTTGCATACCCAAACTAAGTTCTCTGTATGGTGGTCACCTCTTAAAAACTTGCCAAATAGTTTAAGTAGCAGCTTTGATAATTCAGTAGCACTGCAGAACAATGCGGTATCTTTATGTATTTTTTAAAGGCAAAATTTACGGGTTTTTGAAGATGACCTGGGAAAGGAAATGAACTTGCTTCATTCCCTTTTTGCTGCTTTTTATTACGTGTACAGATAGCCTTAAAATTATTAAGAAAAAATCTTGTATGTGTTTTTAATTAATAATTCAGGCCTTGTCTACTTTGCTTTTCCTGGAAGATTCTCTAGACAGACTAGAGAACTAGTCAGATTATGGCATCATAGATATCAAGAATGTGAAATCTGATTCAGTGGGTAAGCTATTTTAATTCAGGATGCTTTAAAACTTTTTGCGTTTTGCTAACACCTACTTAACTCAAATGCCCTGTACACTGCTGGAAGAGAAGATATGTAAGAAACATCTAACATCTCTGCATCCTCCAACTAAAACAGGGAAATTCAGACTTGTTATTCCCGAAATTAATAAGGTTAAAACAAAGCACAGACTTGCCTCCCCTTGTCCCTTTTTATTTTTAAAGTTAAGTTTTCAGGATTTATTTATTCATCATAAAGAAGCAAAAAAGACGGTACGCGGCAGCTGAGAGCGAGGGGTTGTAAAGGTGGTATGGTATCGAGCCTTGTATCAGCACAAAGTAACACAGAGTTGTTCCTTACACTATGCAATCCCTGGGCCACATTTTATTTTGACAGCTTTTCAGCACCAGAGCTATGCAGAACAAATGGAGAGGGGCTGAGGCACTAGGGAGGGGTAGCTCAGTGGTTTGAGCATTGGCCTGCTAAACCCAGGGTTGTGAGTTCAATCCTGGAGGGGGGGGGCATTTAGGGGTACAGGGCAAAAAGCTGTTGGATGATTTAGTTGGGGCTTGGTCCTGCTTTAAGCAGGGGGTTAGACTAGATGATCTCCTGAGGGCCCTTCCAACCCTGATAGGGTCTCAACAGGACTAATAATAGAATATCAGTGACCTTGAGTAACCAGCAGCCTTGCAGAAGTCAAGACGGAAAAGATGAAGGTGTGGATGATAATGTGAACAGAAAGAAAAGGACAGATCTTGGACATTTTAAGAGGAAGAGATAGCAAGATTTGGATGTGGGACCCCTGAATCTGTGGACTAGTGAGAGGGCCGAGTTGAAGAGAGAACGCACAGGTTACAGGCCTGAGTGATGTAGAGGATTGTGGTGTGACATAGAAAAAGCTACCAATAGAGGGAGATTAGAGAGTGCTTAGTAGGAAAGAAAAGGCATTAATTCAGTCCTGGCACTGATAAATGTAAGTGCTGTACTTGTCATGGGTGCAGCATGGGGACAAAGGTGGCTGCAACTTGTGTGCTAAAGGGCCATTCTGGCTGCTGGGGATCACAAGAGAACAGTGCTGTAGCTACACCGCTTTTCTCCTAGTTATGATGGGATGCAAAGTAAGGTGACATAGACCCATTGTATTGGCACGAAATGACCGACAGCAGTTTCAGTGGAGCGGTGAGAGTAGAAGCCAGATTGGCTAGGGTCAAGGAAGGAATTAGAGGAAAGGAATTCACGGCAGCTGTGCAGTATCTAGCGCACCTTTTGGTGAGATACAAATACTAAGCCACTAAATTTAAGTTGAGGATAATTTTGAATGTTAATGCCATCTATATACTGAATTGTTTACACCATCTGATATGGAGGGTTGCTAAAAATCAAAGCTAACTTTTAGCCCCTGTAAAACACTCTGCTGCTTGGGAAATTCTGTTTGAAGGTGCATTTTTTTAAATGTTTAATAATAAATTATTTTCAACATTTCCTGTCACTTATTGTCCTGCAACTCAATTATCAGGTATTGTTAGCACAGTTTAAGCCTAGGCAAACAATATTAACTTGTCCTAATACCCAGCAGCATGCTTTTAGCAGCTCTTCTTTGTATCTGCATAATTATCTTTGAGGTTGATTTTATCACAAATTAGATTAGTATAATAAAAGTAAGGCTATAAAACATACAGTAAATTGGTTGGATCTGCACCAGGCTTCAGGTGATGATCCAGCATGAAGAAAAAGAGATCAAAGAACTTACATAAGAGATGCTAGTTGGCTCAGAGTTGCCATTAAGGTATATTACTGTAGATGCCAAATTGTTATGTAAGAAATGGCTCATGCAATGTGGACTGTTAATGTATGAGGGAAAGCTGTGGGAGGTATTCAGTGTTACTGTTATAGAGAAAGGGGCTACTTCTGTTCAGTAGCCATATATTTACTTTATAGAGAGCACCCTGAGTTTCACTCCGAGTTTGGGGTTTGTTTCAACCTGTAACTGCAAAGCTAAGTATGGTTTCCACCTTTAATGGCAAAGGCACTCTGCAGCGACCAAATCTCAGCCCAAGATTTGGGTTAGTGATGAAACCCCAAACCAGGCAGGAGCAACATTAAAATGATGCTTTAAACGATGACGCTCTCTCTCTGTCTATGCATGTGTAAATACAGAATTGCTTATAACATTTTCACCATTATTGAATATTCCACACATTACATGTAATCAATGTATACTTTGTCTTTTGTGTTCTAAATAGCTCTTCAGGATAATTTCGCTGTGTTTATGAATTCACCAGTGTGTGCATACTAAACCTGAATAATATATCCTAATCTCACACTGTAAATATGGTATCTTTTAACAGTTTAATCCATTTTTATATTATATTACAAATTAAGCAAATAAATATCATTTTGTTTATAGTATGGTTTGATGTATTAGTAGGTAGACCTTTTAAGTGGAATTAAGTCCTTTTCCCAGACTCTCAGCAAAATTCATTTTGGTCTTTAAAATTGGGCTGCAGGTCTCTCTGCTATTGCAAAGTACATTCTCTGAATAATAATAATAAACAATATCAACATTTCTTTTAACTTTAAGACCTTGATTAAAAAATTAATAACTGGCTAAAGCTGTCACAAGCAGCTAGCATGATTAATAATTCATTTACAACATAATTTGAAGTTTAGTAATTACAATAATTTGCTTTTCATTGTTTATTTTACAGTCCAGTCTCCTTCGATCAGATGTGGGACTTGGAAGCCCTGGTCAGTTGTCATCCTCAGGAAAACCTGGAACACCATATTACCCATTTTCTTCTGCAAATCCACGCAGAAGACCACTTCATGACTCATCAGCTCTTGGTCAGTACTGTGGACTATTCTTAGACCTTTAACACTGATGCGCTTTTCACATCCCACCTTATTTTAGATAATATCTTTTTTTATATGTTGCAAATTATCCTTTCAAGGGCAATGTCTGCTACTTAAGATAGCTAAATAAGGGATAATATAAAATGAACTGTAATTTTGTTTAATACATTGATTTGAGTTCAGCCCTGATCAGTATTGCATAAAAAAATTCTCAATTGTGTAAGCAGTAATGACAGATGGATAGCAGTTGATGACCAGCTGAAGTAGCTGAGTGCCCTTAACCCAGGCCATCATTAACTCCTGGAAATGCCTGACCTTGAGGTCATTACCATTATACACTATGAAAATGTAAAGGGAAGAATAATTATCCTTTTTTTTATGCCTGAACTTACTTTGTTCAGGATGATCTAGAGTTGCGTGTAGTTGGTTTAAGGATCCCAGTAATTTATATGTATCAGGTAAAGACAGTAATCAGTGGGAAAATGAGACTTCTTATTCAGTGTATACCATCAGATGCATAACAGATTTGTTATGTTAGCAAAATATGCTTCAAGGGAGTTTTTTAAGATTGGTCACAATTAAATAATATTATGTACCTCATATTCTGGAGTTGCTCCGAGATAAGTGGACCTTACTGTACATATTACTGTTAGTCACTAACAGAACATCTGACTACTGCAAGTTGTAAGGTCTTCGAATCAACCATACAATCCAGTGCTTAGTCATTTATATTACTTTGATATAAATGCTCTTTATTCTGAAACTATCCAAAATAATGTAAAGTCCAAGTTGAAAATATTTCATTTTGTATGCGTGCTCTAGTTTTTTAAATATTTTTTTTTAATCCCCCAATCTGATTTTCCATTTTAGAAAATTATCACAAACTCTAGTTTTCATTTTTAGGTCACCGAAATTGCTGTAGTTGTCTGCTTTATTTCTGCACATTTCTGGCTTCTCTTCCTGTGTGCTACTTTTACCTACATACATCAAATGAAGATTTATTTAGTCTACAAAGTATATGTAACTTGACTGTACTTAACTTTACAATTTAAACCATTGTTTATCCACAACAAAACTTCATGAAATGAGACCTCTTTTCTTGGAGTTTTAGCAGTTAATAGAAATTATCCATTTGTGTGACTATTGAAATAGTTACTGAATATGTCTGAAGTAATGGGTTTTTTTTAATGTCTTAAATTAGAAATGGCAGACTTTTTAGAATGATCCTTTACAAAAATTATAACTAACTCCTGTTTGTCCATTTCTGACATTCAAACTCATACACAAAGATAGTTGCCATTTAGTTTTGGGGAGTGCCTTTTTTTACACAGTCCTTTTTAACACATGCTTCTTAACACAGGTGAGAACTGCTAATAAAGAAACCTGAAAAGTTCTCCAGAATGTGGCTGAGAAAAGGAACATTTAAAGAAAATGTAGCCCTACTGGACACTCAGTAAAACACCTTGTGAGGAGGCTGGCCGGGGTGCTAGAGCTAGGATGATGGACAGTTATGTAGGAGACCAAGGGCTTGTCTACACTGCCCCACAGTTCAGACCAAAGTGTTGCACTGTAACTCCACCATGTGGACGCTGCAGGTGCGAACTAAAAGTATGCTAGTTCACATTTAATGTAATCCTTTTCAGATTACTACCTTCCCCTGAAAATCAAAGTTAATGTGAACATGGCACGATTTTAGGAAAGGGCACAAATGTGTAGACATAGCCACAATTTCAGTTGCTGGATCTGATCTTTACTCCTGTGCTGATTGAATCAGCTGTGACAGAATGCTGTAGAACATATGTTTGGGTGTTGAGTGGGACTGGTGCCTGGTAACTGCGTGTCTCTTCTGAACAGGTATGGAGCAACACTGAATGTGAAGTGAGACACTAGAGATATGTGAAACCTTCATAGTTGGACCTCCAACCATGTCAAACTAGTCTAGTTTTAGGTACTGTTACAAACCTAACATTTAGGATGAGAATTATGATTTTATGTGGAAACTACATAAAATTGGGTGGTGTCAAAGGTTTTTGATTTAAGATTAGGTCCAATTTGTTGTTTCCAGAGGAATTTCATGCTAGCTTATGGTGCTTGTTAGAAGGCAAAAATCAAGGGCCATAAACCTTTGCGGATCTGTAGTGGAGTCCTTGTTGTTGTCCTTGCTGGAACTGAGTGGCTGGAACTCAAGACCTGAGAATTTGTGGCTGTAAAGTAGGGGTGCTCTCAACCAAAGGCCCACCCCCTTGAAAATGTATGCAATAATTTTAGGAAATAAGTGTAAACACTTCTGAACTGTAGTTTTTCTCTAACATAATATGTGGCACATACCATAGTAGAGGTATCCTGAGGAGAAGTGAGGGATAGAAAATAAACTTGTTGCTTTTATTATCTTTCTCTTCCTGAACCTTCTCATTTATTACATTATGGAGGAAGAAGATACTTTTCAGCTTGCTACAACCAAATGTTAAATTCACTATTGTAATTCTAAATCAAGATGAAAGAGTTTGTTTTGTATTATGGTTGAAAACTGGATGAATCCAAAGTACAAATGATGATGTCACCAGATCAATTATTTATTGGGGCAGACTCGTAATGCCAGGAAATCTAATTTGCACGTTGACTATAGTGGTTGAGTTAAACTTTATTTTGTGCATTTTTTCCAGTTCTTAATGTATGCAGCCATAGGCTTCCCTGGTAACATGGAAGTCAATTATTGGTGTAGAGAAGTGGGTGCCATATTTCCAACTTTCCAAATGTTCTGAAAGATGGTTTGGATTCTCTTGGTGACTTGTGAAGAGTGTTGACTAGTTGGTTAATCAGCTTCACTGTTGCTGGTAGCTGAGGTACTACAATAAACCCTGCATTTGAATGTTGTAATCCATTTAGATGAAATTACTGTTTTAAAAAGCCACAGTTTACATTAATTTGGATTTTAATGTACCATAGAGGTGTTTGTAATTCTAATTTTACCAAGAACACAAGCAGGGGATTCATTTATGTCCACAGTCAATCCACCTTCCACCTTGTGCACTTTACAGGCCATTGTTTAGTGAATGCATTATGGTATTGATGTACTTAATAGTGTTTTTGTTGTCAGGGGTGACTGCCTTTCCACAAGGAGAATCCCCTGAGATCAAAGGTAATGTGAGCGAGGCAGGATTGTAGAAAAGGGCACAAATGTGTTAGTCATTGTAACCTTCTTGTAATGTGTGTAAGGCACCTTTCATTGGTACAGAGGAAAAGATGCATAAAGCTAGAAAATGGGGACTGTATTGTGGGAAAAATAAATAACCAGTTGTTTAGTGTGGCTGTTCGTTCTTGTTACTCCTTTGTAACACAGCATAGCTGATGAAATGTGTTGTTTTCTGTGTGCAGATCCTTTACAGACAAAGAAAGTAAGAAAGGTGCCCCCTGGTTTGCCTTCTTCTGTAAGTACTGAATTTTTAACTTCTAGTAAACAAATTGGGCTCAAAGCACACTGTTTACTTGACATACAAATCTTTTAAGTTATCATTAGGAAGGCTTTATCTAGTGACCATAAACAGCCAAGCTATTTTGGATCAGTTCCTAAGGTCTAAATACACATTTGATGTGTAGTTTTTAGATTTCATAGCAATGGTTTGTACCTCACTCATATGCACTTACCCACTTGTCCCTGTCATTTGAATTCCCCTCTTGGGAAGAGAGCTGGGCCAGGAGCTGTCAAAGAAGATCTCCTGTACAGGTCTTTTGATGTTTAATTAGTCATTATGTTGCTGAACAGGAGGACAGACAGAGATTAATAGCTGAGAATCTTAGAAATTTACATTTGTAATAATCCCAATGGAGCTGAAGACATTAAGATTCGGAGGACATATACGGCTCAGCTTGCCTCAGTAGAACTGAGGTTATTAATATGCATAAATCACCAAGTCAGATGTTCATTGTGAAGCCCTGGTGGATTTTAAAGCCTTCATTAAGCTTTTCCTAACTTCAGCCTACCATCAGAAAGGCTTTCAAGCAACTAGTTTGTTGATCCCTCTTTGCTAGAAAATTTATCCTTTGAGAATAAAGGGCTTTGATGAAAAAGGTTGGAAGGGTTTTGGTTGAAAAATCATTAATGGCTGTGATAATCTAATGCTATAGGGGTGTTTTGTGGTATTAAATATACTTTATTCTTTAAAGGAAGAAAATTGTTTATAAATGAATCTGTATTTAAAAATCCACATGAAGTGAAAAATCCCCAGTGAAGTGAAGGAAGGATTTTTCCCCCCTGTTCACAATAAACAAGAGGGGAGGGAAGAGAAGCTCTACTGCCTTGCGGGGTACATCTCTTTGTTGTGTAAATGGATGTCGGGCTTTTATTTGGCAGTACTTAACACACGGGTGCAGGTGCAGTTGGATGAGTCATAACTCAAAGCCATATAGGCTGAATAGAATGCACTGCACAGGCAACAGTAATACAGTAGGAGCAAAAAGGGTCTGATCTTTTTATTTTATTTTATTTTATTTTTGTATTAAATCTGAAGCCATAGATGGTGTCTTCTAGTCACTCTCCTTTCCTCCACTTCCCACCTTCACTGTGATATACAAAAACCTGAATCTGAAATCCCATTTTAACCATACTTCCAGATGGAACTGAGATAGTTTAGACAGCCTGGGGCAGCTGTGCTCTGAACCTGCAGCCTACCTGGAAGCCAGGATTGCAGCTGCAGGCACTCTTGAAAGCTTTTGCTTGCATAAGCACTTGGGCCCCACTAGAGGCTGAATAGCTGCTTGATAAACAAAATGAACACAATGCTTCAAATCATTATTCCCGAGGCCAGGAATTTTTTTTTTTCGGCAGCAGCTAAAAATAGTTTGGCAATTTACATTTTAACAGTTGTGTGTTATGCAGGGGTGCCTTTCCAGTTAACAGATGATTTCTTCTAGATTAACAAAAATATATTTAAAATGACAGAGTAGCTAAAACATGTAACAGTACAATTTTCATTTATTTTATTACTATAATTCTAGGAGAGTCATAAAAGTTAAATTACATATTAATATTTAGTTGCACTGGCCAGGTAACGAGATCATATTAGTGAATGAAAAATTCATCTCATTTATCTTACCCAACACTAATGTTAAGAAGCAGTATGTTTTTAATGTTTCTTATTTAATTTTTCGTCTTCTAAATGAAGAAACAGGATAGCAAAAGACTGATTTTATTAAACACTGAACAAATCTCAGTGATGGAGGGAGAAAGCAGATACTGTGAGTCATCAATATGCTGGTGATATATTTTGTAAAGTAATTGTTTCTGTGTATTTTAATGGGTAGGGTCCTGATTGTAACCTCTAAGCAAGATGACGCAAAATTCAAACAAAACTCTGATTTTTTTTTTTTAAATGTAAGATGCATTGTCTTTGGTGGAAGATTGAACAAAATTAAATTTTACTGACTATTATAGAAATTTGTGATTTCTTGAAATTCTGAGGTGAGAATTAAGGAAAAGGGACACCCGCATAATTATTTGGAATGTGCTATGCTAACAAATCAGATTGTATTTTGGCGAAGGTAAAGAGTGAATCAGCATATTTAATCTCTGTACTGCTGATGTTCTACTCAGTATATGAAAATCATCATTAGATGGAAAATAACAAAGGGGGGAAAGAGGCTTTAATTATTATTTAAAATATTTTACAAGCCATAGGAAGACATTTCTAATTGAGTTTCTAAAAGATATATTCTCTTAATATTTATAATTAATTTAATGTAAACATAGATGCTTCTTCTTAGTACTTTAACTTTCTAGGCAATCTTCATTTAATTGGAAAACTAATGTTGCTCTTTTAGAAAGATAAGGATTTTTAAATAAATAATCTTCCTATGGTTTGTAAAAATACTTTTTCTCTTGACTTTTGCTTTGTGGTGGACATCCCATGTCAGATGTTTTCCAAAACTATTTGTTTTGAGATGAATTTTTCCACTTGTTCTTGATTGTGTCATAGTAGTGAAAAACAAGCTAGCTAGAAAATTACTGGATGAACATCTCCAACATTTGGTGAGTGACAAATGCAACTTATATCAGAATGAATCTAGCTGATTGTAGTGTTACCTTCATCCAGTCAGACTCAGGGAACAGAACTAGTGCCATGTGACTTGAGACCAACTGTAACTAATCAGTGCAGATCAGATTTTGAAGAGCATTTACTGAATGCTTGCAGTGAACTGGTCAGTCTGTAGAGGAAATAATTAAAAAATAAATCAAGTGCATTTGAATACCTGAGGAAAGTGCAAGCTAATTGTGGACATTCCATTAGCTGAGAAAGAGGGTAAATATTCAGTATGAAACATTTATTCAGCTCTAATTACTACCATAATCAGCATTTAATTTAGATTAATAATAGAACTGTATTAAATGTGAAAAATCAGAAGATTAATGCTGGAAATACCTTTAGATCCTTCTTTTGCCATTTCATCATCTTCAACCCAACTAAGATTGTGACCTTCAGTACACAGCTTACATTGATGCATATCTTAGAAAATCAGCTACTGCACAAACACATATGCAGTCATCTAATTTCTTGAGATCTACAACTCTTCTGTGTATGCAAGAGGATAATCAAGTCCTCTGTCTTTTTGCTAAGATAGTTTTCTGTTTACCAAGAGGAGTCTTGATTTTATCTGTGTGCTAATTATTTAAATTTAGCCCCCCCCCCAAAGGTTAATGTATTTACTGTCTATTTGCATGTTTTACTAATCTTATGTACTTTGGTCAACATATTACCTAAATCTTTAGACCGTGCTTTAAAATTCTTATATAAAGTTTAAAATTCCACTTAACAGGAAATTAGCAAAGCCCTGTTTCTAGATTCAAGTCCACTGCAGTTTAGAATCATGTTCAGGGTAAAAGAATTCATAGAATGATTATAGGAGTCTTGACATGTCACTAGCTGTAGGATGTATACCTCTTACACGTGCCAATTTATCATTTATTGTAAGAATTCCTCCATTAAAAACAGCTATATTGGAGCAGTGTCATAGCAAAAACGAGGAAAATGACCTATATTTGTTTCATGTGGGTGGGGTGGGAAAGAGACACAGAAGTAAGCAGAAAGGAGATACCACAAAGATCCAGTCAAACACCTATGGTAGTCATTGTGAGTCTGTACATTGACTTTGAGTGTTGGCTTGGATGCATAGAAGAGAAATGGAAAAGATGCCTCACATTTGCTCTCAAAAGAATGGCTTTTCACCTCCCCAGTCCCCTAGGTATAAAGCTGGGGTGGTGCTCCATAAAGGCAAGAGACAAGAAGCTGGCCTGAAGGAAGGTAACAGCTCATTGGGCATCTTCCCCCATGAAGGCAACTTGTTGTTACCTGTTTGAGATGGAAATTTGTAGGACTTAATGAGTTTATTCATAGTTTCAGATAAATTTCCAAACTTCTGTCTGCTTATCTGAACTCCAGAGTTTGAGGCTCTGATAATTGAGTCAAATTAAAAATAAAGTAAAATTCACCCTGGTGAGTGAATGTAGCAGCCTTCTAGCAGATGGGGAGTATAGGAGTGCCCAGGCTTTTTAGAGTATTATCCTTGATGCCAGAAAACTCTGAGGTATGCCCACATCTTGAATACTGCGTGCAGATATGGTCGCCCCATCTCAAAAAAGATATATTGGAACAGGAAAAGGTTCAGAAAAGGGCAACAAAAATGATTAGGGGTATAGAACGGCTTCCATAGGAGGAGAGATTAATAAAACTGGGATTTTTCAGCTTGTAAAAGAGATGACTAAGGAGGGATATGAAATACCTCTATAAAATCCTGACTGGAGTGAAGAAAGTAAATAAGGAAATGTTATTTACTCCTCCTCGTAATGCAAGAACTAGGGGTCACCAAATGAAATTAATAGGCAGCAGGTTTAAAACAAACAAAAGGAAGTATTTTTTCACACAACGCACAGTCAACCTATGGAACTCCCGCCAGAGGATGTCGTGAAGGCCAAGACTATAACAGGGTTCAAAAAAGAACTAGATAAGTTCATGGAGGATAGGTCCATCAATGGCTATTAGCCAGGATGGGCAGGGGTGGTATCCCTATCCTTTGTTGGATCACTTGATGATTACCTGTTCTGTTCATTCCCTCTGGGGCACCTGGCATTGGCCACTGTCAGAAGACAGGATACTAGGCTAGATGGACTTCTGGTCTGACCTAGTATGGCCGTTCTTATGTTGAGGTTATTCTGAGGTCAATAGGTGATGTGGCCAGGTCTGATGCAAAATTCCCTGACTGGCAAACTGAGAGCATCCCATTGACTAACTCTACTGTGAGGGTATTTTTACATAGGGTTATTGCTGAGACTGTGCTCCTAGCTATAGTGCAATAAAGCACTTGGAGACACAGGACCATGCTTATTGGGAATGGGATTAAGGTGACTTTCTGGATGAAAATACATGTTCTTGGAATT